ATTCTTAAAAATAAAGGTGAAGCACAAATTGTGTGAATTATAGAGGAATTACGTCAATGTGTCATACTTTAAAACGATGGGAAAGCGTTATGGAGCACAAGTTATGACGTTAAACTAATGTTTCTCAAAATCAATTTGGATTCATGTCAGGTAGGTCTACTATGGACAATACATTTATTGAGAGGTTTGATGGAGAAGTACAAAGAGAATAAGGAAGATCTACATATGATATTTAATGATTTAGAGAAAGCATATGATAAAGTTACAAGATAAGTGCTATGGAGAGTTCTAGGAAATAAAGTGATTAATAATGCTTAAAATCAAGTCATTAAGGATATGCATGAAGGAGCTGTTGTGTTCAAACACAAGGTGGCTTGACCAAGTATTTTCATATTTAAGTTGAATTACATTAATGATCATCCTTAAGCCCATATCTTTTTGCTTTAGTCATGGATGTTCTTACTAGACATTTGCAAGAGGATGTACCTTGGTGTATGCTTTTTGCTGATGATATTCTTCTTGTTGATAAAACTAGAGAGGGCGTTGAAGGTAAACTTGAATTATGAAGGTCAACTTTAGAGTCTAAAGATATTTTGTTTAAATAGATCTAAAACCAAATGCATTGAGTGTAATTTTAGTAGTAATAGATCTAGTGGAGGATTGTGACTTTGGGCAATCAATACATTAATAAGAGTATACATTTTAGAAATCTTGGGTCTATTGTTCAAAGTGATGATGAATTAGATGGCACTATTATTAGTAGAATTCAAGTTGGATGGTTGAAGTGGAGGAATTCATTGGGATTGTTGTGTGATAGAAAAGTACCCCTCAAACTTAAAAAAAAATTTATATAAGATCGTGGTGAGACCTATAATGCTTTATAATGCATAATGTTGCCATTAAAAAAGAAGCATAAAATTAAGTTAAATGTTGCAGAGATGAGGATGCTCAGGTGGATGAGTGGTTTTCTTCTTGGAGACAGAATATGAAACGAGCATATATGTTAAAAGGTTGGAGTAGCTCCAGTGCAGATAAGATTAAAGAGAGACTCCTTATATGGTTTGGTCACAAAAAACGGAAACCTTATGATGGCCAAATTTGGAGAGTAGATGCATCAAATTTGGTTTATGTTAAAAAAGGTAGAAATAAACCTAAAAATACTTGATTAGAAAAAATATTAGAAATGACCTTTCTTTATTAGATTTAAATGATAATTTGACTCTTAACATAACACAATGGAGAAAAAGGATTCAAGTAGTCGACCCTACGTAGTGGTATAAACGCTTGATGTTGTTGTTGTTGTTGTTGGCAAATCACTTTATTACTTTATTTTTTCTTTGGTCATTATTGTTGACAGTCATTTGAAAATAAAAGGAAGTAGAGTTTCTTAGATTTGTATTCACCTTTTGAGAGCATTGTCTAGGTCTAGCATCACACATTGTTATCATCATATCTTGTTCTATATCTTCTCTTTGAACATGTGCATGGGCTAAATCCACCACTGGAAATGGCTTCTATTGGAGTACATCCCCTCGAATTTCATCTAGTCAATAATCAAGACTATCCAGAAAGTTATATACCTAGAGAGTTTAGATTTTGGATGAAATTTTCAAATGTCAGGTTAAGTTGCGAACAAAATGCTATCCAAAAACTTTACCTTCATTTTCCGAATTCTTTAAAATCTGATTCAAGAATTCTCATAGACATAAGCCCTTAAAGTTAATTACTCCTCCAATTGACAAGATATAATTTTTTATTAAGGCTAGTAGTTAAATGCTAAGTGCTTGACATATAGTAATAACAATTTGGCTTAGGGCTGAGAAATTTATAATCATAAAATTTAAGCAAATGGTAGGGAAAATGATGGCAAACCCATTTAAAATTATATGGTTCCATTTTCTTGAGTTGTTAGAGACCATGTCTGGTCTACTTAGTCAATGAAAGTAGTCGACCCAATCTAACCAAAGGAACCTTATCGGTAGCCATGAGTTGTGATGTTTAAGGGGGTCTTATAGACCAAAGATGGATGTTTGTCTAAAGAGATGAATTTAGAATTTTAGATCAACCTTAGCTAACAAAAAACTTTGTCATATCAAGTGTATTTCATTATTCACTACTCAAAATATTTTCAGCCAATAGAGAACTTATGATGTAGGCAGGGGGGGGGGGGGGCAAAAAGGGGGGGGGGGGGGGGTCAAATCAAATCCTAAATTTTGGTTTTAACTTCTCTTGGGGTTGCTAGCTCATTAATTCTTTGAGCTGAAATTTAGCTCATTATGAGCTGTTTTTTAGTTCATTTACTAAAGTAAAAAGTTTAGCTCATTTATGTAAGTTTAGTGGAAGCTCATTATGGTGGATCTTGGCCCTTTGACTCCCGTGGATGGCTGCTTGGTTCCCGTGGCTTGGCCCTTTGGTTCCCGTGGCCGGCTGTTTGGCTCCCGTGGATGGCTGCTTGGTTCCCGTGGCTTGGCCCTTTGGTTCCTGCGGCTGGCTGCTTGATTCCCGTGCCCTTCTTTTCTCTATTTCTTGTACCGGTTTGGGGCTGCTATTTGGTGGCTGTTGGGTGAGGATTTAGGTGGCTGCCTCTTGGTTTTCTGTGAAGTTTTCTGCGGCAGTTTTTGGGTTGACTTTTAGCCTTCTTCTTGATGTCTTTTGGCCTTCCATTTCCTGTATTTTGCTGCAGTTTTTGGGCTGTCTTTTAGCCTTCTATTTGGTGTCTTTTAGTCTTCCATATTCCCTAATTTAGGTGGCTATTTGGCTGCCCTTTTCTTCTATAAATAGAAGATGTTTTGAGGCTTAAAAAAAGGAGGTTAGAATGTGATTTTTGGAATGGAAAAACTGAAGGTTTTTCTTGGAAAAGGTTGAGAGCTTTGTCCACTTCTTCTTCTTCTCTATCTTGGGATAGCTTGCGAGTTACTCCTATCCTTCGTCTTGGCTTCTAATCCCTTCTTCTACCCGCAAGTATCCCTTCCACTTGTATCCTTCTTCTAAATGAAAGAAAAGCATCTTTAGGTTGTTTTAAGTTTGGTCTTGAAGGTTGTAAGTGTGTCGTTATGTTTGTATGTGTTCTTTTTATATGTTTTGAAATGTAAGAGTTTATTTTAAAGTTTCTAAGTTGTCTCTTCTTTGTTGTATTTTCTTATCCCATGTATGTTTTTAAAGATTAGTAAGGAAATGTTTTTGTAATAAAAAATTAGGGGGTCTTTCCTAATTTTTTATTACATCAACTTATGAGAGCTCTAGCTATAATTGTAACTTAATGATATCAATTTACAGCAAAATTACTCAATCAAAAGGGCTTCGATCATAACCGTGTACTTGGATTGTCATTTGACGACAAAACTATTAGTTAGAGAACACTTGTCACGTCTTTATTGGAATGAAATTATTTAAGAGTAACCATAGTGATAAGCTTCATGTGATATTAACTTCTTGTGAGTTAAGATTACTCTCCTCAAAATTATCACATCAACAAATTAGAATAAAGGATGAATAGGTGATTGCTTTTAGCCTTAGATTGGTAGATTTCACTAGAAAATTTTTATGTAATTTTTTTAGCATTTTAGATTTTTTTTATAGGAATTTGGGATCATAATGGCTTATTTAAAGGACATTTAATAGATAACTTCACCTTTCATTTAAATTGCTTTCAACATAGTCATCATTATGATTTTTAATGATTTCATTTCATCACATTAAACCATATCTACTTTACCTGCTCGCTTGCAAAAAATTATGTTTTAATTTGCAGTGTCTGAATCCATTTGGATATTTGTTATATTATAGATAATATATAATCTACCACACATATAGAGGATTAGATATGTAGATTTAGATTTCGACCCTACCCTATATGTGGGGTGGCCAACTCGAGAGTGTGTATACTATCTTAATGATCTTAATTTTTGAAAAAGAGTGATAACAAGGTTAGAAAATATATTGAATGAATTTTAAAGTAGTTACAAGATTCTCAGTGTAGGTCAAACTTGAATTCACTTTGTTTTTCTCTTGCACAACATTTCAAACTTTAAATTTGATTAGCATAGCTATCAAAGCATAAGCGGGCGCTTTGAGTTTGAAAAAGGTTTGCGAATTTTAACATGATTGCAGGCTTTAGAAAGCAATTGCATGCTTTTCAATGCACCTATACAATGCATTTGCATGTTTTCTTGTACACTTGCAAGCATTTCAATGCACCTATATGATATACTTACATACTTTTTAATGCACTTGCACATGTATTTTCTTGATGCACTTGCATGATGCAATTTACACTTAAACAATTTTGAGTCTATATGCATTGTGAATTGACACATTTCTCAGTGCATATATAATGTATTTGCACAGATCTTATTGCATTGTGTTTGAGTTTAAATTTGATCGCGAAGTAGGTAGAAGATTTAAAACTATTTGTGCAAACACTTTTGTTAAATTGTCGGCAAAGTTCCTTTTAACACTCAATATTTCAGTTGTTCTCCGCTTGTGCATATCTTATAGACCTGGCAACGATGAAGAAAGATGAAAATTGTTTGGTGAATTAAAATCTCTTAAATGCCTCATGAAATGACATTTTTGTCATTGCACACATTTTACTCTGATACAATTGAATCTCCACCACTAGTCTAAATTCATGGATTTTCATGGTGTTATAGGACCGAAGGGTAGGTTTTGTTCACTTTCTTAGAGAGCTTTCAAGTTCCAAGGAATCCCTACTTTAATCCAATTTGTTGTTCAGCCATGTTTACATATTGCAACTTCATTCTCAATTTCATTACCTATGTGCCATTTCATTTTAATTGTAATTTAGGTTCAAAATTCTCTTCTTGTTGTTCTATTTGGATCCCCTATTAGTGTAAATATCGGTAACCTCAAAACATCTCCCCCATGCAAGGGACATCTACAAGGAGTCTGTGTCTGCTAAGTATGCTAAGAAAGATTTGCATGATCGATATCCTAAGTTTTCTCATCTGGATTTTCATGGTACAAGAAAAAAGACTTGCCTGAGTTTTGTCATCTGGATTTTTAAGAATAGCCTTGATAACCTGCACCATTGGGGTGATACCAGTGCCTCCTGCAACCTGAGAAACACAATGAAGGTGAGGTGTTGTGAGTTAGACTTAAAATAAAAAAAAATTAATTCAATAGCATCTTCATAATTAAGATATAAGAATGACTTCATGATTAAGATATAACATCTTCCATGGATGTCACGTCAGTAAGTTTTTTTTTAATATTCCAACAGACAGACGCATATATAACATGGAGCACAGTAGTCATAGACTTACAAAGCATCTAACATTGGTTATTTTGATTACTCACCATTCCCAATTTCTTTTTCATATTTGGACTATATCTGAGCTTTTCAATAGGTCTGCAATAGTTTTTTTTTTTTTACCAAAAAAAATTTTTAGAGACAAAAAAAGGCAATTCTAGAAAAGAAATTTGATATTATCAAGTACAAAAATGCAGCACAGGATGAAAATAAGGTACCCTTTCACTTCCAACACATCTCCTGGCTTCAATTGCGCAAAATGCTGACTCATTTTACCTTCTGGATAAACCTGAGTGCTAAAAACTGTCAAGTTTATTTCAAAGAATGGCTAATATCTTAGTGCGTACTTTCCAAAAAGTAATAAACGTCCTTCAAGAAAGTGGGCAACCATGAAAATTAAAAGAATATGCTGCAATTAAATTTCCTTACCTTGATTAATAAATCAAAATAGCCTTTGGACTCAGGATCTGATATTGGTGTATACCTGTAAAATTAAGCTAGTGTTACGATAGTTGTAGTCTTGCTCAACTGAAGCCCAATTTCGTAATGCTGCGTTGGGTTGTATTGCAATTTGGTTTGTATTGTGATGTACAGTTGGCCAAAAACGACGGTTGTTAAGTAAAATTGTTCTCTAAGGTGTCTTGATAGATGAATATGTTTGATAAAAAATATTGTGATTGTAACATGGATTGGTAACTAAAATATACAAGATCATAAAATAACAAAAAAAATCAACTACATTTTTTTTAAATATACAGTTTGTGTTATTACTAATTAATCTAAAATTATAAATTAATATTATGCACATATGAATTAAATCAAATTTAGAATAACTGATTATACAATGATTTGTGTAATAATACCATGGTTTTCTAATGAAAGAAAAGTTTTATAAAATCCATCCACTATATGAGTATGAGCAGATTACAAGATAATTAAAAAGGCATGAGAATATTCAAGAAGAAAAATAAGAAGATTTGCATGTCTTATAAGGTGCAGACAAGGGCATTTTTGTCTTAAATTTTTTCAACTGCTCATAACAAAAGTGAGTTCTAACTTCTAAGAAAGTATGTTTATTCATATTTTTTGTTTTTAGTTTTTTTAATTCTCATGTTTTAGCTCTCATAAAGGTGATCTTTTTTTAATGCTTTTTCCTTTATTAAACACCTTAAAACTGATTCCATTGTTTAGAAAAGCATAATCTAGCAACAAAAAACATTTCCAAGCAGGTCCTGGTATAGACATAATGACAACTTTCCACCAGAATTTTACAACAATAATGTTTACCCATATATTAAGAAACACGCGAAAGAAAGACAAATCAGTGATTTAAGTGACGCGCATGTCAGCGCGACGCATCACTTGATGGGTCAAACGACCTCCGATCGCCAAACAGATTGCGTCGTTGCGAACATAGCATCAAATTTGCCCAGGAAGGAATCGCTCGTGATCAATTCGGATGAAAGAGGCCGAAATCGCCACCTAACACCCGAATTTAACGCGCGACGCTGCCCAAACAACATCCGATCGCAAAACGAACTTTGTCATTGTGTTCTAAACGTTGACAATACTTAAAATTGATTGTAACATCCTCCAAAGAAATCAGTGCAAATCCCAAGGCGACGTCGCATGCAAGTCATGGGAATGAACAAATTTATCTTCTGTCTGATTTTAACTATTTCAAAATAATAATAGAAAAAAAATTGTCATATAAAATAAGATTTATTTTATTTAATTAATTTAGTTAATTAGTTAAATTATTTTAAAAAAGAAGAGTATAGTCATACCTCTGTTTGGCACTGATGCTGACGCCGCTCGTTCACGCCGCGTAACCCCTGCTTGAATACCTGCTAAAATCCTGCAATATAGTGCTATGCTTCATCGTTAAAAGGAAGTGGAATGAGTCCTCCGTCTATATTTTTTTCTACTTCCACGACTAGATCTCTCAGCACCAATCCTCCCAAGTCACGATCCCAAGCCCTCAACCTGCTCCGGCCATAACCTGCAGCCTCCGAACAATCCTGATCCTCCTGCCGCAGCCTCTATCCGAAATCCACAAGCCTCTCGTATAGATCTTTCCTCCGTTTCGCACTTCACCTGTTCGGAACACTACACCTGTCGAGCAGAATCCGAACTCGCAACCCGACCATACATACTCTATCCATGCTCTCTCCGTCCCTACCCACGCAACACCTCACAGCCAAATCTCCTCCAGCACAAGCCTCACACTCGTTTCACCCTCACAACTTTCAAGCATGCCTCATACCCCTCCATGACCTACCTCCAACCTGTTCCGCTTGGTCTCAAACTTCGGCCGGATGATCCACACCTCAAGCCATTCTGATTTTGACGATACTTTAAGATGTTCAGCCTTCCTAGCCAATCGAACAAACAAGCCAAATCCACAACCTCAACCCCGTCTCCACATCGAACCCAACACCAGCTACAACTGGAACCCCCGAAGCCCAACTTTCCCTATCGTCGACCCTCACCCAATCGGCCCATCCTCTTCCTACCAAACCGACTCCACGCCTCCAAGACCGACCTGCTCTTCCTCCTATCCCTGAGCACGCTGAGCCCTAGCCTTTCCATTCCTGTGCGATTTCACATGAACAACCGAACCACACTCAGACCCTCTTCCTCACTCTAAACCGAGCCCCACCTCATTCCACCTCAATTCACCAACCTAGCCCAAACAGCTACTCACACTACCTCTTTTTTTTTTTCCTTCACAACAGCCCACTTCAAGAGATCCATAAATTTCTATTATAACCCATTATCTTTCCTCAGTCCATCTACAGTCCACAACTGCACCCCACTATAAACCAACAACCTTACCCACTAATTCAACCCGCTTCAAAGCCCAACAACCTCCCTCCATTATAAATCAAGCCATGTTCTATCTTAGCTTCACCTATCAAGGTAATCATCCTTCCTCTCACCCTCTCGAGTTTGTTTTGATAATAATATCTAAGAACCGGACCTAGCCGGTTCAATTGAATCGGCTAGTTATTTAATAAGGGGGCGCGACTTCTGCGAACAGAACAGGGCGGAAGTTTTTCACGAACAAAAGTGGGCGGACGACAGAGAGCTTCGAGCGAGAGTGAGGTAAATTCGTGTTGAGGAAGAGAGGAACGGTTGAGGAAACAAGGAAACAAGGTTTGTGTTTTCCTTCCTTGCAATTTTGCATAAATTCTCATGCTTCGTTTGACATATAGTAAATGACATTTTGTCAAGGGAAAAGGAGTTTGAAAGCAAGAAGGAAGGATTTTGGGAGAGAAGGATTTAGAGATTTTGACAAAACCCCATTTTCATTGTAAGTGACTTTCCTTTTATAAAAATTTTAGTTAGATTTTATTATTAAAGCACGTTTTTATGAAAATTCATATTATATGAATTTAAGGATGAAAGAGAGATTGAAAGTTGTAGAAATTCAATTCAGCAAGGAAATTCGAAGTTGAGGTTGCTCCAAGGATCGAGGATTTGAAAGGAATAATGTGGGTAGTTATACTTGTGTAAAATTGTACTATTTATCTTCGTTTCAAATCTAAAATTTATAGTTCCTACAATTGTTTATATTTTATACATGTTTTCTTTTGAAGACTATTATAGAAGAGACAAGGGAAAATTCTAATACATTAATTGATATAGAAATTGTATAGCTGAAATTGAAGAAATACTTTATGCATATGGAAGTTTATGATATGTGAAAGAAAATATATGTAAAGAAAATGGAAGGTAAAGTTGAAATGTATATATGACACGTATATACGTATAAAAATGCAGATACATAAATGTTAAAGAAAATGATATAATATCAAATTAAATGAAGGAAAAAGGGTATATATGAAAAGTACAGGAGTCACCCTTGTATGGTACTAGTTGGGGAAGCAATGTACTGATGCACGATAAAAAGGAAATGAAAATGAAAATGAAAAAGGGAATTGAAATGGAAATGGATGTACCTTTGGGTACATTTAGACGGTGCTCCTGTACAATTAAATGGAAAAGGAATGTATATTAAAGTAAATCTTTTAAGTATGTAAATGAAGATGTTATAATGTGTATAAAAGATTGTATGAAATAAAATGAATAGAAATTAAAGAAAAGTATGCCACTTGTTAAATGAATGAACATAGAAAAGAAATTAATTATACTGTAAATTATATGTTAATTGTTAAATGATTACCCACTGAGTTTACTTAGTAAACTCAAACCATGAATTTAAATGTTTCAAGTAAGTCTTCAGTGATTTAAAAATGGCTGAAAGAGAAGATTTTATATACAGAAGGCGGCGTGCAAATGACATCAGGTAATTTAAATTTTGGGTATTAGTGGCTCTTCAGTACAAATAAGAAAAGTGATGTATTATTTTAAAAGAAAATTTTTCCGTCCAACTTTTCGTACCCGCCTTGTTAGATCGAGCATCCGGGCCGGGTCGTGACAAAAGTGGTATCAGAGCAAGTTTAAAATATAAATCATACTGAAAGAGCAATTAGGATAATTATTAATGATTTTAATGTTAAATGATTATGTTATGGTCATCAGGAACCAAAATGAGTATGAAGAAGATGAAGAAGTGGAAAGAACAACACATAATGTTCCTGTTAATCATGATGCATTAACTCAAATGATGACGGCTGTGACTCAGCTGATTCAAGATTCAAGCAATCAATCATCGGGGAGTAGTAGTGGTGGTGGAATGGTTATGAATAAATATCTGAAATTGTTTCAGGATATGAGACCACCATTATTCAAGGGAGTAGAGGGACCAATAGAGGCCAAAAACTGGTTGTTGAGGATTAAAAAGAAATTAGAAGGAATACACTGTCCATAAGAGAGAAAGTTTCCTTGGCAGCCTTTGCACTAGAAGGAGAAGATGAAAGGTGGTGGAGAGGGCTGTATCAAGACAAATTTGAAGGAATACCTGACATGCAAATTAAGTGGAATGATTTTACTCAGGTGTTCAGAGATTGGTTCGTACCTCCTTTTGTGAGGAGGTAGATGAAGGACAAGTTTATGAGATTAGTACAAGGAGATAGATCAGTTATGTAATATGAGGCTGAATTTACTATATTAATCAGATATGCTCCTCAATTAGTACATACTATGGAAGATAAATGCCACCGATTTATAGCTGGATTGAAGGATGCAATTAGACAGCCTCTCATTCCATTAGGGATTGAAGATTATTCAGTATTAGTGGAAAGGGCTAGAAAGATAGAAGCGGACCTGCAAAATACTCAAAGGAGATGTGATTTTCAGAAGAGGAAAAGTGGTGAAGTTATGGGAGAGGATTCGCATAGCAAGTCTGTTTCACAAGGTGAAAATTTTAATTGGAAAAAGATAAAGTACAGCAGCAGTGACAGTTCAAGTGTGAACAGTTGCAATAACTGTGGAAGACAGCATAAAGGAGAATGTTTCTAGTACAAATACTTGCTCTGGTGTCATCAATCGGGTCATATAGCTAAGAACTGTCCTACT